TTAACAGACCTCTCTGCATTGAATCATATCTGTTATTAACCTCTGTCTCTCTTCCACAGCATGTCTTTATCCTGTCTTGCTTCTCTCACCCCAGCCGGTCACAGCAGATGGCCTTTGTCTGCAGCTTGTAAGGAACTGATCTTTGGAGTTCCACCAGGGGCTAAAAACGCCTGGGCTTAGAAAAAAAGACCCCCAGAAACAAACTACAGGGCCAAAGTTCACATATTCGTTGTTGTTTAGTGTTTCTTAGTTCAAAGTTCAAATTGCTAATTCTAAATCTTTGATTCACGTACAATCTGAGTGCTTCCATTCAGTAAAAATCTGCAAAATGTCAATTTCATTTTGTGTGTTCCCGTTATTACTCCCTTATTACACACTTATAACATTCAGTAAAACAAAACAACTACCAGATGTTGAAAGAAGTCGTATTCCTGAGAAAAGGGACAGAAGCACATCCTCACAGACTTTATGACACTTTTACAGCTAAAACAACAAAGTCATTCCAGGCGGCCTGTTTCACATTATGGGGTTTAAAGGGCTAAGGTTGCCTTGGAAACCTTTCAAACGTCCTGACAAAACGTTCGACCATAGCGTAAACTTACAGTCATGTCTATCAATCCGTGCTACCTTACGTGGTTTATGCCTACATCGTACATGGCCGTTTTGAGTTGTGCGCACGCGCAGTAACACAAGTAGGGTGTTTGTTAGAACACCGGTTTACCGACTTTCACTTCCTGTTAAACCTTTCACAATAAAACAGGTTAGATTACGCCACATCAGATACCTCAAAATAAAACTGGAGCTAAAAAAGTTAAATGACGCTGAAATATTTACACTAATAAAAATAAATAAAGATATTTTAAATGCTCTGATTAAGTCACTCTGTTCTCTCCTTTACGTGTTTGTATTATTATTTTTAGTGTTGGTGTTCCAAGGTTTGCTCTTCCGTGTGTGATCTTCCAGAATAAAGCTGGGAATAAAAAAAATAGAAACCGTTATCCAGCTGATGTCTTCCAGCTGTTGCTCACTAACATCAGCAGGAAGCAGGAAGGCGAGCAGCTGTGGGTCTCAGGCAGACACGGAGAGAACCCCGCTCCAGCAGGAGGATAAAACTGGTTCTAAACGAGAACAGAATGATCCTCATGGTGGTTCTGGTCCTCTCGGGGACAGGACTGTGCGTGAACGGCGGTGAGTGACCGTCCTGCAGGAGGCTTAAAAGTGAAAGTAAAGAGTGACGCACATTTCAGATGATCGATTCGCTTTTTATTTTTGATAGATAGAAAATATATTTGATCGATTCTAGAGCTTTAACCCTGCTGCACAGGCCTGACGTCTAAAACAAAGGAGGAAATAGTTTACACGAGATGTTCCCTGTCTGTAACTGTCCCCACGGACCGAGAGAAAACTCCGTGTTAGTGCATCCTGAGATGACCGAGTGCTGCTTCTAATTTCCACATTCAGCAACATCAGAGCTGCACAAGTCTTTACTAACACTGATGTTAGTGCGTTATTTGTCACACTTACTGTGGAATATATATATATACTGGAATACTGGGTATAAAAGTCTGGGCTAAGTCTTCTGTTAGAAGAACTGCAGCAGTCCAGGAGTTGGGTTAACTTTCTTTAATTAAGATTGTTTCCATCAAAGTGCTTGCCAGGCTTAATCTAAATTCAGTGCAGCCATACTTGAACTTATTGTTGTATAGTACACAGTATTTGTGACTCTGAGCATGGTTTTCTGGAAACAGAAACAGGTAATTCTACAATAAGTAGAGTCATAGCAATATCTCATAATGTCCACAAGGGGTCACTGTAGAGATAAATTGGCTAAACCGCACATGTCTTACAAGTTGTTACTAGTAAGGCACAAATATGGCAAACTAGCAACAGTTCAACTAAACAATAGAAAAGTCCTTTATTCCTAATACAGCTGGATGGTCACTGCTACTAACTTAGTACTAAATAATCCAACAACATGGTATCAAAGTACTGAGGCATCATTTTAACATGCACTGGTTAAGTATAATCAGTATCATGCCAATTAACCGACCAAAAGAAATACGAGGTTCATTAACGCACAACTTGATCACACAAAACTGTGTTACAGCTGCAATGCTCAGCAGCAGCTCCTTTAGTCATCCCCACTCTGGTACTGAGCACACGACCTCTGATGCACTTGTTTCCTTTGGTTCATTTGCTGAAATTCTACTTGTGTGTAAATGATCAGTTTCAGTTTGTTCTTCTCTCCAGGTCTCATGTTAGCATTAGCACTTATCAACAGGTCAGCACCACTGGATTAAAATGCTCTTTACTCACCTGCTGTCATCTTCAGCCTGGTGTCAGAACTCTGCTGATGCTGTTTTAGTATCCAGGCACATTCTTAAGGTGGGATTTTAGATTAGCTGTAGTCTGTCTACAGACTTTTGTCTTTGTGTCTGCATTTTTAAGTATGTCACTAAAATCTTTACACAACAGAAACATGACATTTTGTTCAGCATACAAACAGAGATCTTTACTCATGTATGAATCACAACCTTATCATTGGGGAGGAGTTTGTACCTCAAGGAGTCATGTTTTCCACAGCAATGGACCAAGATGCTTCCGTCAGGACAGGGTTGGGAGGCTCAGGCCTTGGGGAGGGGCTCATCAGTGAGGGTCTTTGGCCTTATGGGGACCGTAGGAGGAGGACTTGACAGTCAGAAATTTGTGCTTGTGTCATCCTCTCTGTGGTGGGGAAGAGCTGGAGCTAAAGCATGAAGACACAGATACAGGCTCACCTCAGAGAGCAGCTTGTGTTCTGGAAACAGTCACGAGAAAAGAAGCAAGAACAGAAGAACGATGGGTCGGGTCTCAGAACTGTCACATTAAACAATCCTAGTTTTTCCAAGAAAAAACAAGTTTATCAACTGATTGTTTATCAGGGACTGATTAAAATACCAAAGAGCAAAGCTTCCTGATTCATAGTGGATGTAAATATTCAGATGGTTTTTCTCAGCTGGCTGGAATAAAAACATTTCCTCCTGTGTGACTTTCAGAGACTCACTCCCTCACCTACATCTACACGGCGCTCTCCAAACCTGTCGGCCTCCCGGGCATCCACCAGTTCACAGCCATGGGTTTGCTGGACGACAAGATGATCGACTACTTTGACAGCGAGAATCAGGTGAAAGTTCCCAGACAGGAGTGGATGAGAGAGCGTTTACCTGCTGATTACTGGGAAAAAGGCACACAGTCCCGCAAGAGCAAGCAGCAGTGGTTCAAGGTCAACATCGGCATCCTGATGGAGCGAATGAGACAGAATGACTCAGGTCAGACCCTCGAAAGCTGAAGGACCTGCATGACATCAACAAAATAACATTTTATTGAAAAAGGCTTCCATTTGAGATCAGGTTCCTCAGGTCAGGAACAAGTTGTTCCTGCTTCCTCATCTTGTCTCCTCTGAATCTTCATTTCCTTGTCCTTTGTTTGTTCTTCCTTTATTTCACCCTCCTGCTTCCAGACCTCCACGTTCTTCAGTGGATGCACGGCTGTGAAGGTGAGACGCAGCCTGACGGCACGCTCAGGTTTGTCCGAGGCGTGGACATGTACGCCTACAATGGAGACGACTTCCTGTCCTTCGATGATAGAAGTGGAGTCTGGGTCGCTCCGATTCCAGAGGCACAACCCACCAAGAGGAAGTGGGACGGCGTCCAGGTGCTGAAAGAGTACACCAAGGGATACCTGGAGAACGAGTGCATC